GGCTTTATAGTTGCAGATGATGATGTTGATGGCGGTGATGATAGCAAGCATGAGGGGGGTGATGAGGATGTTGAAGAGATGATGGACATTGGTGGTGATGATCATGTTGTTGTTGACAGTGGTGATGAGGGTGATGACGACCAGAACGAGGATCGGATAGTAACGATGATAGTGATTTTAACGTGATCATCAACATCATCATTTTCATCATCATGTCCATCATCTCACCTACGGCCATCCGGAAAAAGGTGTAACATGTTGGGGTTGTGCTTCCAAAAGCCTGGCCTATACCCTAAACTCTGTTGTAGGAACTGCTGCAAGCGCTTCATCACCCCTTCTCCCAGGTGGCCAGTGCACTGCATGCTTCAGGCCAAGCCCCAGCTGATGTCGGCTGCCCCAGTGACCTCTCCACTGTGAAAACGGCCCGTGCCGCGGCGGTTTCTTCTCCCCGGCTCACTGGTTTGTTCGGACCACACCCCATTTTTGAAGCCATGACGACTGAGTCCAGCCTTGCAAAAGTGGGATGTGATAAATGGTGTTGTGTTAAGTTGGATATATTGCTATTCACAAATATTCCCACATATAGAGTGTGCTAGTATAATGCAGTAGGATAGATTGTTGGGTGCACTAGTGCGTCAACGTTTCCTTGTTCGCGGGGAGTCAGGGTCTTAGCACACATAGTCTTGTGGGTGCTGGTGTATTTGGGAATTCTGTGTGCGTACGCCGAAACCATGGGATTTAATCGAACTAGTTCGGTGGCAAGGACAAACGGAAGAAAGAGGAATCAAGCTTGGAATCCATAGGGAACCAAGGATGATCGAATTCTTGGAATGTTCCACGTCCAAACTCTATCAAGATAATGATGATACTGTAATTAAGGAGAATCAAAATATTCAACACATATCGATTTCTCATGCTGTCACCCTTCTCCAGAGAAACACATGGGGCCCCGTTTTCACTTTGAGGTACGAAGCCTGACTACGGTGGAAAGTTGGCTCCTTGGAGCAGCTCGCAGCTCGCACGCTAGGCTGAGAGGAGGAGGGGGCTTTTCCTGAGGTGGAAAACTCAATGAGCAACAATGACAAATTGAAGTTGTCCAACTTCAGTCATTGCACGCTCCAAAGATAGATTTCCTGTACTGTATCCACCGAGAGCCACCAGGTTTTCCCAATTCTCGATTCCTCGCAGGGGTGCGCAGGTTCCGATCGGCTGCGCAGCATCCAGACCGACCGAACGGTGGATCGACACAGGTCCAGGTCACGCATACAATTGGGTGGCCCATCCCTGATGGTCCCTCATCCCCGGATGAATGAAGGGATGTTGCTCAAGGTTATGCCCTCATGATCCCATGGTGATCCCATCTCAAATGTTCGCATGATGATCCCATGGTGGTCCCCATCATCTCATTGATCCCATCTCAATGATCCTTGATGGTTTTGCTCTACTGTCGGACCTCCACCCGGGGTGAGACACTGTCGGACGTCCAGGCACCCCACCAAGGCACCCGGTGGGGGCCCAATGGGGCCGCACTTTTGATTCCAGCTTACGGCACATGGGGTGGTCTCAGGGCCTTCAGGGTGTCCTGAAAACATCTGTGCCAACATGTTCTGTATGTTCTTATACTTATACATAATCAAAACATGTTATGCTCACTGATGGATACATGTTCTGTTCTGTGATATGATTGCCATATGATATCCATCAGTGAGCACGGATCCTTGGACCAAAATGGGACCACTTTTTCCATGTCATGGGCCATGGGAGTGCGGGGTGAAACGTGACACGGGGCCGACCACCCAGGCTGCGCGGAGCCTTCGTGCCCTGCTTCTACCTTTGGCGGAGCTTCGTCGGCTGTTTCAAGCGGCAGACGCGAATGCTGCGAGCACGCGCGATGCGGCGGAAGAGCGTGATAGAGCAAGTACATATAGCAAGTGCGTATAGCAAGTGATATATAGCAAGTTATTTTCCCATGCCAGATGGATAAATACACTCGGATAAACTTGTTTCGACTCGAGTTTCACTTGCATGACCCATCAAGGGGTCACTGGTCACGATAGAGAAACTATCATCCTGCAACAAGCCTCCCAAAGCCAACGTCAATGACCATCCCCCTTTTGGAACACCTTTAAAGATTCTAAGAGTAAGAAACTTAAAATAAGAATAAGGAATCACAACTTGGAATACGTCTTAGACTGGTTGCTGTACCATTCCTTCTCTAATGTTTTGCACCTATTCCACCCTTTGATGACTCCCAGTTACATTTAGCTACATTTAGAAACCTCCCAAGCCTGGAGACGGGGGGGGTTGATGACTCGACAGTCTATAGACTACAGTTACTACATGCAGTTATTATATAGCTAGTTTTGCTTGGTCTACCTAACCTACTACTTGTACTTGCACTGGTGAAGTGCCGTATTTTTCGGGTCATCCAAGCATTCCTGGGCCCCGAGGTGGAGCCTTGCCATTGGACCACGTCGGGGTCGCCGAGCGCGGCGGACTCACCCGGGGTCTCTGGACGAGCGTCAGGCCGAAAGACCCTCGGATTCACCGCGGTGAAACGCCACTGGTGTCAGTGTCACGATCTGTGGGCGTTTGTGCCAGTTTCTTGACATGAATGGCGGGGTGGCCGAGGCCTCGCTTGGCGGTGCCGGAGGTGCTTTCCATGGCCAGGGCGCTTGGAGAAGATCGTGAGAGTGGATGTCACACACAGAGAGTACAGCTTTCCTGTGAGAGTGTGCAGTATGCTGGAATGCAAGAACTGAGCAGCAGTCACAAGACGGGGTGCCTAATGGAGGAAGTCGGGGTGCCCAGAACATCCACTCACTGGATGGGACTAAAAAGCACCCCTTTGTGACTCCTGGTGTATGATTTTGTCCGATCCTTGAAGTGATGGATCGTTTGGTTGGTTGGTTGGTTGGTTGAAACCAGCTACAAGTAGGGAAAGAAGCTGGATAGCCCGAAAGTTCCTGGGGCTCCAGGCTTTGCAGACACCTGATCCATGCAGATGATTGGCATGTCGAGACCTATGTGCCTATGTGTTCCATTAGTCGAAGCATTCAGCTCATGCTCCGAGGACCCCGAAGAAGATCCACAGATGGCCATCAAAACAATTCAAAATAGCTGTATATAGGTTATAGGGTGAGGGAAGGCTACTCCCACGTGTGTCATGCCATTTTATCCAGAAGCTGCCAAAGAAGTTCTTGGGCTGCCCTCATTGAGCACTTCATTTCTTTTTTTCACCTGTTCATGCTGAGGCGGAGCCCTGCTACATGGCATCGGTGATATTCGTGTGCTCGGCCACATTGGTGCCTCCTGCCAAGCTCCAAGAAGACATGGCCCTTTTCAATGGCAGAGTGAAATGGATCAAAGTGAAATGGGGCAAATCCAGTGAAGATGGACAACCCTGGGTCTGTGGACTCCTCCAGTGAAGATGGACTTGATAACCTGTAGGAACAGGTGACTGGAGACAGAGCAGGAGAAACTCTGCTGTAGGCGGGTCAAGCTAGAGCTTTGGACACCAGGCCTACTGGCTGTGCCGTGCGTGGCATCTATCTTGGTGCTGGCAGCTGTGGTTGGCTAGAGCCCCAGGTTGAAATCGTTCTTCGATTGGATCTGTCGTTCACAGCGGCCGCCTTCCTTCAGACGGGTCTTCCAAGTTCACAACTGGAGGAGGAATTGGAAGGCGGCGAAAGATTAGGATCAACTCACGAATCATCGAAGCAAGTCGCATGGTTGGGTCACCAAACACATTCTGACGGGGAATTGGCCACATCCTGAGAAAAGGTTGGCCTTTGACCGTCAAACCATTGTCCATGTGCAAGCGGATGTTGGAGCTGTGTTTTTTCTGCTTTTCGCGTGGTACACGGTTTGCATGAGTGGTACGTCGAGGAAGTCAAGCACCCACCGTTGGAATGTCGGTCAAGCACCCGGTCCTTTCAGTGTAGAGGGTGTACCGGTCCTTTCAGGATCTTCCGGTTTCTTCAAACGGAGCATGGATGGACTCTCCCTGGAACCGGTGGGATGCCATGGGCCCCGATCTTCAAACGATGAACTCCCAATACTAAGTCGTTCCAGGGGGTACCATCCACTTCCATGTTCGTTCCAGGGAAAAAAAAACAACTTCGTCGACCTCCAGCAGGCCTTCGTTCGACTGGAGGTCTCCTGAACAGAGGAAGGAACCACCCTTGGCTGAACCACCCTTGGCTGACCGAGTGGTTCTCGTGCCGATACACGCAGCAAAACCCTGGTGTATCGGTGTATAAATTCTATGCAATACAATTAAAACATATATATATAAGCACCGAGCACGTATATATGTATATAATTACCAGTGTATAGATGTTCACCCGTTGAAGACCTTCAGTTCGTGGTGGCTGTTTGCTGTTTCTGCATTGTGCAAGATGGCATTTCCAAGACTGTCTCTTGCAGCAATCTTTCACTTCTTGGCAGAAGGGTTCGGGTCAACGTCCAGCCAGCCTGGAGGGCCCAGTCATACCTTTTGAGAAGGTACGTGGATCCCTATGGATATATATATATATATTTACATCTCATGTGCATCTTCCGATCTATGTCAGCTGGACTTCGCCACCCGGCTCGCGGTCGGAGGTTTGGTTGGCATACTTGGCCCTCTTGTTGCCGCCCGGGGGCCCTAGAGGAGCACCGCCTTGGTGGCAAACCTGCAGGAGATGAGACCATGAGGGACAAGCCTCAGGTGTGGCGTTTGGCGAGTGGCCTGAAACACCTGAGCTTTTTGGTTGCGGGATGTTTGTTTGGATGTTATGCAGATACTTTTGAATGATCCTCACTCGAGCGATTGCTTGGTCGCAAAGTCAATACACCACTACAACCAACTTACGATTCAATGCGATTCATGAAGTTGAGCACAGTTGAGCTGCCAGCCATATGTTACAAATCACACCGTGCCCATGGCACGTGGAAAAGACTAACATGTGTTTTCAGGCCTGACTCTTGTCATAAGTCGTAATCATCACTAGACACAAGGCATGCTGGCTCACTTCGTGACCATGTTGGCTCAACTGGCCTAGGTTTTTTTCTTGGTTCGATAGAAGGCCAGTCGTAGCACGAGACAAGTGCGTGAACAAGCAAACTATGGCCTTGCGACCGAAATCGGTGGCTTGCTTGGCCAAGGGGTAGGCGGGACAGGAGTCCAGTCCTACAATCAGTCTCACTTTTTTGATGTCCCTTGCTGTTCATCCACTGGAATCCTCCACGATGGAATAACCCAAGATACAGTTTGTTACTTGTTGTTTGGGGTCCTGGGGTACTCGCAAAGGAATGCAAAGGAAGTCACATAAAGATGTGACAACACCAGGCAATTGCATAATTGTCAATTTTTGGGCAACGTGGGTCGGTAGCTCAGGTGATGTGGGAGCAAGTAGGATAAGGGATGAAGCGGCTTGGGTTTTCACTTGACAATGCTGGGCCGGTTTACTGCATGCTTTTTGCAAACGTTTGCCAAGGTATCCCATTTACTACGGCCAGGGTAGAGTAAGTCGCCACCTTTAAAAAAGTAAAGCCGAATCAAGCGCAGCTGTTCATTTGTTCATACTTGTTCATTCTCTCTGACTTACACTGGCCGGTGGACATGCGTTATGCTGCTTTCCACTCCTTTGACCATGTGGCTGTGCGTTAAACCTGGAGTGTGCAGAGTACCAAGGACGTGGTTTTCGTGCATGTTCACGTACACACACGAGTGGAAGCCGGGAGGTTGTGACCATCACCCACATTGCCATGAGTCAATCTGTAAGGTAGATGACTGGTGCCAGTTGATGCCCAACTTACTGGAGAAGAAGGGCTGGAACCACGCAAAGGTCACGCCGGGAGCTGCCTTGATGCATACCAGCTGCCCCTGGGGCGGTGACTCTGACAAATTCAGTAGCGCAAGCTCACTCAGCTCTTTTTTTGTACATGCCATAGTTGTTTGAAAGAACTTGCTTCTCTTTTGGGGAGGATGAGATGCTGGGAACTATTGCCATCAGAAAGCTGGTCAGACGGATTGATGCTATTTGTTCATTGTGTCCCGAAACCCCAGAAATCCTGAACCTTATCATACAGTCATCCTGGAGTAGATCGAAGGTAGAACAATGCTGGAAAGTATGCATCATTCGAGCAGGTCTTATGCTAAATACTTGAGGAAGGTGATTTGCGACAGAAGATGTTTGGAGAAGCACTTGACCTTATGACCTTGATATACCTTGATGTAGGCATTATGTCAATGCCATGGCACTTTGCAGTGACGACCTTTAGATAGATGTCCGAAGAGACCATCTGAGGGCAACTCATCAAGTTTGAACTCCTGGACATCTTGATCCATGATGCTCCAAGCGATCCGGCCAACGTGACTCAGACAGAAGACATCAGAAGACTCAAAAAAAGGTCTGGAGCAGGTGGAAAGGATCCAACGAACCCGGCCAAGCAACTGAAGTATCCTAGCTTCATGAGCCAAACAGTGGGAAGAGACCCACATGGAACCTGATGGCATGGACCAGACTGGAAGACGATTTTCCTCTAGAACCCAGTGGTTTTCAGGTTCCATGTGGGCCTCTTCTAGGGTGTACATGACATGACCGATACATATCAGTACCGAGAGCGCATGGGGCATATGCCGGCTCACTGACCTGGGGAAGGTGGTCTTCCTAACCAACTGAGTGGAAGGGAAGACGGCCGGTTGAACCATACTTCAACCAACCAACTCAGCTAAGACCAGCTAAAGAATGCTAAAGAACTGAGTATGACCTCAACCAACCAACCAACTGAGTGGCTTTAACTTCAACCTTTCAACCAACTGAGCCGTCCTTGGCCGCCGAGGTCATGGTGCGCCCGGAAGTCCGCACTCTGCACGACGCTTTGGCGACGAGTGGCTGGCGCACGGAGTCGCTGGAGGTCCTGGCGCCCGGAGAGGCGCTGGTGGAGTTCCTGGGCGTGTTGGCCGTTGGTATTTTGTTCCGTTTTGGGTGATTTTGAGTTCTGGTCCCGAACTGGGTGAAATTGGGTGAAGAACCGGGACAACCCGCAGAAATACCCCGGGATACCCCGGGGTTTGCTTCGTTCCGACACTTTTTGGTGAACCCCCAGTGAGCCGGCAATTCCAAGGTTCACGAGCCCTTGGAGGATCGTGAAGTTGTGCCGGGTGCTCTTCGGGGATATGGCGGGACGGGTGATGAAGCCTGACTGAACGCGAGAGTTTGAGGGGACCTCATATGTGCCATAGGTTGTGCGATAGTTTTTTTTGGTAGTGTTCCTGCGCGAGGGCGGCGAGATAGATGTTTGAAGCGGCGCAGATGGTGTGTGCTGTCCATCCTGCAACCTGTCAAGAGGTCAAAAGCCCCGGTTCAGTAGTTGGTGGAGATAGTGACATTTACGCAGGCTGATGTTCAGGCAAACGTCTTCCGCGGCCGTGTGTGGCGGAAAGAGCATCCATAGGATCGCCCAAGTCCCATCGGACAAGCCAAGCCCGTTCACAATGGGTCGGTGTTTTGTGAAGGCATCAGGAACCGACAAAACCGAGCTCTCAAACCGCATGAGGCCATGAGGCCACGCAACACGAACAGCACCACATCCACTAGCAATGCGAACACACGATCAATCGACCCATTCAACCGTACAGTACTAGTCTATAATTACAAATGTAAAGGAGGTTGCATAGAATTTGCAAGGCCTTCTTAAGAAGCTGAAGCGATTAAAAAGTGAGCTGCAACCATGGTTTAGGAGGATCAAAAAAAGTGACCTGCAACCATGGTTTAGGAGGATCAAATGACTCCAAACTAACCCAAGATCAGGGCGTATAGAAAAAAGTCTCACCCACCTCCTGGTCATCTATCATAATATCTCCCTTGCGATCTTGTTGATGTAAACACCTGCACGCTGCGATGCAGCTAAGCTGCTACACCTGGTTTTCCAGATTGAAGGAGTTCCAACGAACTACTATTGAACTCCTGGATGACGATTTCGCCCACCGGGAGTGTTTGGGCTCAGTTGAGGAACTACTTCTTCGACACTGAGAGCACGACATCCGCTTCAGCCCGAGGTGTGGCGTGGCACCAAGAGGTGAGGAGGAATTCTCCCAAGGCAGGTGATAGCGGCTGTGCTTGCTGGAGGGAAGAGGAAGATGATGGGAGGCACGGCGGGTGCCGGGGCGGTGCCGGGGGGGTGCAGGCCATAAGATGGAGTGAGTAAAGCAGTCAAGGCCTGTGTTGTCCAAAGCCGAAAAAATGGTGCTAGGGTTGCTGTGCAAATGTTGGCGGGAACGGTGTGTGGTTTTCTGAACCTCCCTTTTTGTAATGAATGGACTTGGGGCCAAACACTTATTTTCAGTGCTTCCTCGTGCACAACATGTGAGAGTAAGGACAGCCGCTCACGAAACATTCAGCCAATGGGACGGCCTGCAGGTTCAGATGTCAAATGGGTGGGTGGAGAAGTTTTCGTTCGGAAGCAGCCAAGGTTCAAGCTGTCACTTCAAAACCTGCTCTTCTGGGGGTGTCCCATCTATTTCAGACAGTATCAGAGGGCCCCCCGCGGTTCCAAAGGCAACATATGCCCCTCTGGCGTTTCACGGTCCTTGTTCCGAACTTCTTGGAACCCTGCCAGGAGCATGTTTTCAGATGTGCCACATTGCAAATAGTTCGCCCCAGCGGTGAAAATTATGTAGATGATGCGGATAGTGGACCTACTTGGATCCTGCGGTTTATCGAGGTATCGTCTACCATTTTATGCGACCACTTATGCCTCAGAGAAGACTTTAATTATGTATAATTGCTTGTTATATAATGCTTTTTGAATCAACAAGTTGTGTAGCATGGTGCAATTTTTTCATGTATGTTTATAAGCTTTTTCATGAGAACATGTTGAACCCCCCTGGCCGTCTTGGTCGCTGTGGTGCGTCGCTCCGGTCGCGAGCTAGGCAATCCCAGGAGTTCATGGTCCTCATGCGTCCGGCGACCAGGAAGGATTCAAGGAGCGGGACGTGTAGGAGAGGGAGGATTAGCAGTTGGGTCACCTTTTTGAGGCATTGATTTCGGCACGCCGGCCATAGATATGGTTGGTCAAGTGGTCATTCATGTATGGCTGCCATCGCTGAACACAAGGTTAGCAGTTGGGATGGCTTTTCTTCCATGCTTTTCCCCTACAAATATCTCTACAAATCAATCGAAGCCGCCTGCAGCTGTAATTGCAATGATCCGTGTGGCTGCTAGAGAATCGCAATAGTCACAAGAACCCTTCCACGTACCCAAGAACCATTAAAAAGGTGCTTTTCTTCCAGGAACCGTGGCTTTCAAGATGCTTCAAATCTTCACTCGGCTTCTTCCTGAGCCGGGCTGAACAGGACGGTGAGCTTCACGGTCTTCGTGGTGGCTCGCACCGGGGATCGCTTCGCCCACTGGGCTACGCCGCTGTTTGGACCCGTGCCACGGTGATATCGGCGTGTGACCGATATCGATCCGGAATCCATCTTAGGGTTCACGTTTCTTCAAACCCACATCTCAAGCCATATTGTTCGCTAGTACTCCCTGGATTTGTCGATTGGAAGACCAAGGTCAACATGGCCCTATTGGAAGAGAAGGATAAGAGGCAGACAAGAGGAGGACACAGGGTTGGCCAGCGCGGCCAAAGGACAACGACAAGACAACAGCAGGACAAAAGAAAGACAAGAGGAGGACACAGGGTTGGCCAGCGCGGCCAGAGGACAACAACAGGCCAAGAGAAAGACCAGAGGAGGCAAGAGAAGGACAAGTGACAAGAAGCGATTAAGAGGAGGACAAAACAAGGATACAGAGGACAACAGCAGGACAAGAGCACATGGCGCTTGATCGGCCAGGTCTTGCGGGCCAAGGAACCACCCGACGTCCGCCTGGCCAACAATTCAGTCTATACGTCCGCTGACGGTGACTGCAACTGCATGGCCGGGGGCGACTTTGACGGGGACTCCAACATGTTGTCGGACAACCCGCTACTGGTCGGGTTGGTGGAGTCCACAGACAGCTGGCTTAGAGGAGAAGGTTCGAAGAGGATTGCAAAGCACGCATTTCCAAATCCAATCACACCGTCCATTCCCTTATAGATGATAGATGCCCATCGCATAGCCGCCAACCAATGTGACCCAGAATTCACCCTACCTATCCCTGCTATCACTGATTCAGCTTTCTCAAGAAAGCATCGAACACAACCAGCACAGACCGAGCTACCCAACCTAGCTTTCCCAATGCTGTATGAAAAGTTACTGCCGCTGCGGATGATAGCGGCTTCCGATGTTCTTCTCAATCTCAACCGTTTTGCTGAAGCAGATTTCGGTGTCGCTTGACGCTTGACTTCCTTTCTGCCAGGATACAAAGACACCATACTTTCATAGCATTCTTTTTCCATGTGCAACGCAGTCGTTCCATCTTCTTTCTGGATTATTACCACAAGAACCGAATTCTGTCTTCAAGCTTTCCTTTGACCTTTTGCAGGAAGTCATAAAAGTTGGTCCGTGAGCACATCGTGCCAGAGGCGCCCTGGAAGCCCACCTTCCAGACGGCCGACGTGCAAGACCGCCTGGAGCAGCTCAAGGCTGGCTCCGCCCAAACAACACACACAAGCCAACATGGTTCTTCCCCAGGTAGCGTGCTATTGGGGTTCTTGCTTCCAGTGCAGGAAGAGGTGCCTGTGTGCACTTTCGAGCTCTTGGGTGCTGACGCCGCTGCCAGGGGTGTGTGGCCGTGTGCGCTTTGGAGCTTTGGTGCTGGTGCCGCTGCAGGGCGTCGCTGCCAGATGTGTTAAATGATGTGTGTGTGGCATTCTTTGGTTTGGAGCTTGGAGGCTGGCGCCCCCTGCAAGGCGCCGCCGCTGCAGTGGTGCTGCTAGATGTATATGGCAAAACCTGAATGCTGGTGCGATGCAGGGTGCTGCTGCCAGATGCACGCTGCTGTGCGCTCTGTCGGGCCTGGACGGTGGTGCCACTGCAGCGTGCGTCTGGAAGTGTGTGCTTTGGAGCCTGTGTTGGTGTTGCTGCAAGATTAGTGCAAACTGTAGCTGCAAGGCAGTGCTTGCAAGTGTGTATCTGCCTTGAAGCGTTTGCGTTGGAGCTTGGATGCCGGCGCGGCTGGTGCTGGTGCTCCTGTTGGGTTACGCTGCCAGATGTCCGTGTGCTGGTCCTGCTGTCAAGTGTAGCTGCAGCGCAAAACAGCCGCAAAGCTAGGTGTTTGTTTGTGTGTGTGTCGCTGTGTTCGGTTTGGAGCTTGGATGCTTCCGCCGATGGGCAGCAAGGTGTTGCTACCAGATGTTTATGACAGTGTGTCCTTTATGAGGATGCTGCTGCGTGCCACTGGATGTTGATGGCCGCGTGCGCTTTTAGAGTTGTTCGCTGCTCCCACAGCAGGACGCTGCTACAAGGTGTCGCGTTTATAGGTGTCTATATAGTGGCTATGACGCATCGCTCATGCGTCGGACTTGGATTCAATCCTCAGGTGCAAAGGTGGACGCACAGACCACTATGCCACCCTTGCAGTTGAAGATGAGGCTAGGGGGTGGGTCGTTAAAACGGGGACAGGCACAATAGGCATCAAATAAGTAGTATTCATATATATAATAATAGGCATCAACAAAAATAGTCCTAGGTCTGCTGGTCCTCTGGCCCCTTCGTTTCCAAATCCTCTCCCCGTGGTCCGCTGGTCCTTGGTCTCCCTTGCTCCCCGGTCTTCGTCCCTTGGTCCTGGTCCCCTGGCCGCTTGGTCTCCTAATCTTCTCTTGGTCCCCTGATCCCTTGGTTCTTGTGGTCCTTCTGGTCTCTTGGTCACTTGGTCTTCTTGGTTCCTTGGTGTCCTGGGGGGGGCTGTTTATTGTAGCATCTTTTGGTGATTGCTTTTTGCTTCTGACTACTGTGGCTTTTGGCTTTCGTGGCTTCTGGATTCTGTGTGGCTTTTGGCTTCGACGGAAGGAGTTCTTATCTGTTTTATGTATCTATCTATCTATCTATCTATCTGCCGACCTATCTATCTATCTTTCTTTCTTTCCTGCTCTTTCTTTTCTTCTTTCTTTAATGTCTTTTCTTATCTATATTGTTTACCTTATCTATCTTACCTTTTTGATACATCTCGTCTGTCTCATCTATCCTATCTATCTTATCTATCAATCTATCTAATCTATGTGTCTCTCCTATTCTAACCAATTCTTTTCTGGTCTGTTCTCATCTAATCTAATTCAATCTAATCTATGCATCTATGTTTTAATTCGTATTAAGCTTGAGCAACGGCATTGAGATCCAAAAAAGAAATATGATACAAGACCAAAAATAGGGTCAAGTCAAGCACAAACACCACTACTACTCTCCAATACCACAACTGCTATTGTTAAGAGCGCGTTATTTTTTGATCCTTATTCAATCTTCTTGTTAGTCCCTTTGGACAAAAAGTTCGTATCATTGATTGATCCTTATTTTCTTTCCTGTTTGATATCCTTAGGTTTTGGGACACCCACCCATTAAAACGCAACAACGAATGCGAATTCCACGGCATGGAAAAATGCGGCCAGGGCCTTTGCATGGCGCTTCCCACGCCTCAGCTGCGTGGCACAGCCACAGCTGTGGCTGAGAAGGCGGCTCAGCAAGCGTGGTACACAAAGGGCGTTTTGTTCCGACCAAATGGCTTTTGTAATGAGCTGTTCTTGGAGCCTTGATCAACCCCACCTGATACCATGCCTCCACCGAAAGTATGTGAGATCCAAATCAACATCTGCGTGTGGGTCTCCAACATTTGAGCCGGTTGTTGTGTCTCCAATGACTCCAACATCTTGTATGTAACACAGTCACCCTCTCCACACCCAGCTGGCTTAGCGAGAGCCTTGCAGCTGAGCCTTCTGGCGCACGTCGCCATGGAAGCCCCAAAGAAGGTATCAGCCACAGAGGTGCAACTGGCGCTTGCAGAGATGCGCCGCTCGGGCCACAATGTGTGCTGTTGAACTTATCGCATGTAGAGCGTCCAGACTGTATATTGAAATCCCACGTCTCACATCCCAACCCTCTCCACCCAAAGCTGGCCCCGCAAAGGTGCACCCAACAGGCACTGGCGCGAAGTTGGGGGCCTGCGAGTGCGGCGCCAAAGCTGTGATCCCTGTATTGAGGAGATCCGTTCGCGCTGGTTCGTTACATGAGTGGCTTCAAATTGACCGCCCGAAGAACATTATGCTAACGTGCGCTCCAAATGTTTCAGCGTTGCTTTTGTGGCGTCAATTGCAATTAACCGACCACCTTGCAACTTTATTCCGATAGCCTCGAGCTATTTGAGAACAATAGTTTCTTATTCCCGCGTCACATGTGCCAACGCAGCGAGATATGTCATCAAAGTGTCTAAGGATGACATCAAGTATGAAACGATGCATCCCTGTTGCACTCCTAGCAAGCCGAAAAGATACCCGAGCAAAGTGGTGGAGAAAGAGAAGGCTACATCACCCAAACAAGGAACCAGGTGGTGGTAAAAAGCCAACAACGCGAACAAGCAGAACAGACAGAGTAGAGCAGGGAACGCCGCTTGAACAAGCTTCGAAACAGGCGAAAATGGCTTTGTTTAGAGAGAGAACACCAGCAGAAGGCCACAGCCAAACAACCGGACGACAATAAGATGACACCGGGGACCAGGAAGACAAGAGGAAGACATAAAGCAGAGGGACACCACGGAATGACGCGAGGAACCGGGGAAGAGAAGAAGGGGGCGGCTGGCTGGAAGTGGCGGAGGACACCAGGACCAAGGGCAAAATTTCACCAAACAGTTTCAGCCGCATCTTTTGCGTCAAGTCAGCTGATTCCTCAAGGGATGTGTAATGAGAAACTCTGAAGATGACTTCGGATTGGAAATTGTTGCTAGAGGCGTGGCCGAGCAAGGTAAAGGGCCAAGGCGTGGGCATAAAGGGGCCGGCAATGTGGACAAGCGCAACAGACAGACCCAGGCAAAGCATGACACACAGACCCAGGCAAAGCATGACCCAGGCAGCGGACAGCAGGACACAGGCTTCGCGAGAGCGGCCCCACACCTGGAGCGATAGGAGGACCAGGGGTGTGGCAGTGTGGCCAGTGTGTGATTCAGAGACACAGACTGAGCCCACAAGCATGGCCACACGACACAGAACACCAGCGTAGGAAACAGCGTCATAAATTCTATGTCAAGTCAACGTTTTGAATTTCGATTTGCTGGCAGCTTGCAGAAATATATACTAGGATAATACCGAGGGTTTGTTGTCATGAGAGAATTCAAGGATGATATCAATAATCGAAAGGCGGTATAACTGCTGCTTTGCAAAAACATACCGGGGCAACGTGGTGGAAACATAGACAGCGGCGCAACCGAACGAAGCAGACACAGGGCTTGCTAGTGCAGCCTAACGACAACCGGACTTCTAGAAGGACATAGAAGGACACACGGTTTTTGCAAACAGGAGGATACGCAGGGTTCAGGAGGACACCAGGAGGATCAGAAAAGGACAGGTTTCGCCAGCGCGGCCTGAGGACGGCAACAGCAGGAGGACGAGAGGAGGACAACACCCGAAACACAAGGTTCAGGGGCGTGGCCAGAGACTGTGGCCAGTTTTTTCTTCTTAAGAGAGAGCCCCTGGGGAAAAAGGACAAGAAGAGGACGAGGGGGCAAGAGAAGGACAAGAGGACAAGAGAAGGACGCGAGAAGGACAAGAGGAGGATAAGAAGAGGAGGAAAAGAGGAGGACGAGACAACGACAAGAGGAGGACAGGACAAGAGGAGGACACGGGAAGGACAACCCGGACACAGAGTCCAGGGCACGGCCAGACAGTGTGGCGGGTTTTTCCGAAGAGAGAACCCCAACAGTAAACTGTTTGGGGAGATATCACTTCAAAAAATGATACCAAAGTATCACGAAAACGTTGCAATGTACAGTACAAAACAAACATAGGGTGGGTGCCAGATCACTACCCCCTTGCGGTGCTTGACCCCCCCGGGGGGGTCAAAATTGTAAGTTACATTTTTTGATTTTACAACAATAGCCTTATATAGCCCTATAGGGGGGGGGGGTGAAAATTGTAAGATCTAGGGTCGAGGTAGCCTATGTGAGGATGTTACTTTTTTTGACCCCCCCCCTGAAAGAGGTCTTGGCCTACTTCTGGAGACTCTGAAAGGAGGGGGGGTAGGCCAAACAAACACACACAAGGGTCAAAAATGTAACTTACATTTTTGACCCCTGTCTTGTGAGATGGAGGTACATCAGACCTGTATGTTCAATTTTCACCGTTTTCCAAAACCTGCATTTTGACACATCCGAAATTGTAAATTACATTTTTGACCCCCCCGGGGGTAAGGCAGTAGTGATGGTGTTAGACATATTTATATATGTAATATAATATATATATACACATTAATAGGCCTACATGCATTTATATGTATTAATCTAACATTCGTCAGGTGGCTCAAGCCCATGCTGCCGAAGCCCCTAGGTGCTCGCCTTGGCGCGGAGCACCGCCCTGAGCTTCGTGAACCGCCAAGGCATCGCGGAGCTTCGAGAGTCGCCAGGCAGACGCAGAGGCGGTGGGCCGGATGGGGGCCATGTCATGTAGACTCTTTGTTATCAATTGTTTTTACAGTGGGTATATATATATATATATACATTTAGAATAGATAGACGCACCTATATATATATATATGTTTTTTAAAAATACACATATATGTCAACATATTTTTGAATCCCTGCCCTGGATTGACAAAAAATATACAATTAAGCAGTCTATCTCAGAATGTTCTGGAATGCTCTGGCGCCACACCCCATGTTCTGGGCGTGACCGCCGGGATTTAGGGTGAAGAAGAGCTGGCGGATGGGTCGTGACCCACCATGCGGAACCCTCTAACTTCACCATGTCGCGAACGACCTGACCGACCGTCGGTCGGTCTCGTAGACGCTTGATTATACTGTGCTTTCAGATGACACAAGGGCCCCCCCAAGGTCGGGTGGTTCTAGACAGACCCCCATCTGCCGACATGTTGGCACCAGTGCCACCTACTCTGGTTTCAGGATTGTGATCACTGCTTCATTTCTTGGTGGAGATGGGATGACACTCAGGTGCCAAGACATGTCAAGGTCGCCAAGGTGTTTGGTACTTGAGACGAACTTCCCCGGTCATTCTGGAGACTGCAAAAGGTCCGCAGACTGACAGTTCATGTAGAAAGTAGACAGATATCTCAGCCCCTCAGGCCTGAAGACTTTTTACACGTCGGCCGGGGTGTTGAACTATCATCGTTTACATCGGGTTTGAATGGGGCAATCAACATAATGATAAACACATTTGTACTTTTCTTGGTCAAAAGAACTGAGCGGTTGAACTGTCAACAACTTTAGGTTTGCGCTTGGTTCACCTCGCGTAGTTTGCAAATGAAATTTCAACATGTGTGACTACAACAACCGTTTGTGGGGTTCATCTCGTTTGATCTGCACTGTGTCATCACATGAACTATGGGGACATACGGGATCTATGAGACAAGAGTGCGATCTGATTGTTCAATATGGTTGAATATTTGCGATTTGCATTAGCCTTAGGCTAAAAAGAAGTAGAGAGTCATTTGGCCAGGCTGGCTAGAATGGGGTGGCTTGAGGCTTGAGCCCCGCCGTCCCCCTTTGGTGGAGAGTTTTATGAGCCGAACTCGTGAGGCTTCGATCACAGCCGGTATCGAACACATACGCAAGAGAAAATAGAGCCTATCTTGGCGAACCCATGCCAAAGACCATGTTGGGCAAGCCTTATATCAATCACTGAGCCAAAGAGTCTTGAGGAGGGTATACTTGGATGATAGGCCTTGATTGTTGGCCTATGACATGTAAATTCATTGCATCCATATAATGCAGGATAAGCAGTACATAGCAGTACATTTCATAAAGCCCTTTGATGATCTTTGATGTTTAGGTTCTTCTTGATCTGCTCGTTTCAATCGCTGGAGTCCCGCTTCTTCCGTTCACCGTTCAGGTTTTTTTTGGACTGCCATCAGTAGTGTGATTGGTTTTCTTTCCCCAGTCCAGTTGTAGGCGTGACGGGGCTGAGGCAATAGGCCTGCTTTAAGCGCGAAAAACCGAGGCAGGATGCGCGTTTCTATCTGACACTCTCCATGCAAAGCTTCAAGCGTGGCTTTCCTTTATTGCCCGCCTCTGAGGATGAGAAACCTGTCTGCATACATTTTAAAAATTGATCTCTGGAAGGCCCTTGTTCAACACATGAATTGTTTATCTTTTTTTGGTGGGGAAAGGGGTGTTCCCCCTCAAAAAGTGTGTGTTTTTCTTTGTGATGATGGAAGGGTCCAAGCTGGCGATGCCAAGGAATCCGCTGAATTGTCTATGGTGAGGGTTCACCTTGGCATCAGGTTTGACTTGTCCATAATCCCCTTCTTCGGCCCACAAACCTTATTATGTGGGCCAAAGAAGGGAATTATGGACAATTCAGCGGATTCCTTGACCGGTGTCTCCCCCGGTAAGGGAATAGACACAGAGACAGGGGGAGAAGAAAAACATGTAGAAAACAACATGAAAACAACTACAGTATTCAATATATAGCTTTCACAAAGGACTGTTGCGGGTTGCGGATTTTGGGTCCCTTCATACTTGCATAACTCTTTCAAGTGTCTTGTCTGCAATGCTCCTAGCCATCATCTGAACATAAGACATATAACAGAACCAAAAAAACAATAAAAAACAACACATTTCCAGACTAGTCCAATCCCAAGAAACCTGATTATTATTGTTGCATGCCCAATGCCGGAAGCCTATTTATATAATTCCAGAAAATTCCAGCTAACGTAGCCAACTCCATCCCGAGAGCATCGTCAACCACTGCTGGAGTTCGATCAAATTCTGTTTCCTCCACCACCGGATGCTCAGAGAAGTTGAACTCCAACCTGATCACGAGCTTTTTCGGTGCACTCTCCTATGCATTCTCAGCGCACCAGACTTCGCAATCTCCCAAAGTTTGGTCGAGTCGCCGCCCCTGCTGTCGAAGCCACTACCAAAACTAAAGGCCGTTCGTCCCACTCATCGCGTTCATTTGACGTGGCTGTGCCAGTGGCGGGCGTTGGCAAAAAAGTGCTAGCTGTTGTTTGTTTTTATCAGAGGGTTGCAACCAAATGGCCGAAAGAATCCTAGTTGATCCTAGTTGAAGGTAGCCTTGTTGTTGTTAGGTGGGACAGTGGTGGTAGGGGCTGAGAATGACACACCAAAGGGTCTTCTCTTGAATCCCCGTTTTGGTGATTGGTTTTCAGCACCTGCAGATGCCATGACCCCTGCAGTCAGCAACCCAAGTTCTCTTTTCACCAGCCAAGCCTCCGACAATTTTTGGGATGTCAAGTTCTACCTAGAGATCTTCACTGCCATCACCTGACACTGCGCCAATCCATGTCACATGTTGGACTGCTCCATGATGCACCATGATGCTCCATGCCTCAGGAGCAGCCTCACCGAGATCGATGCAGGGGAGCCCTATGGGCTCCGACGCTGGGTGCGCTATGAGCCCCAAGAGCCTCGGTGGAGACCCCCCGAGCTCCCGGGGGGGAGATCTGGGCGTGCGATCGACGCGCATCAACATGGCTAGATGAATATCCCAAGAAACTTCCTGAATCTTGCAGTTGAAACGGGTTTTCTTGCCAGAGATTTCCCCAGTCGTGAACACAGAGATGTGGCAGTTGCAAAGCCCAGACTTCGCTGGTTATGCCTAGCCCGTTCTGTGGACGTCGGGACGTCCATGCAGAGGTTTCCTGAGACTGGGCAGTTTTGGACATACTTATAGGTAGATGGCCTTTTGAAGTGGTTGGTTGATAGAGGGGATGCCACGAAGTGAACAACCAAGCTTTTTCCAAAAGCACATCATGGGAAGAAATACCCGCCTTCGGAGGGGGTGAGGAGCTTCCTGGTCTAGTCTAGTTGTGAGGAGCTTGTTTGCAGGGTGTTTTCTTTCTGGCTGTCTCCAATCGATCACTCAAAAACCCAAAGGAATCCAACCAAACTGTGAAGAGTGAGCAGTGAAGACTGTTCCAAGCTAAGGGTCTAGAATGGCCAGACAGGCCCATGGTGCCCACAACGAGTCCAGTGGGGCAAGGTGCCAGCTCAAGGGTCGTCGATGCGCAGGGCCCCGACGTTTTCGCAGCCGGTCCAACCGAGGATCCGAACAGTCAAAAGTTCCAACTCAGCTCCTATTTGCAGGTCTTCCTCGGCAGGCGCGGGTTCCATGGTTCCTGTGAAGCTTGTGAAGCTAAGGGTGAAGAAAGTGCAGAAAGAACACGGATGGTGATTCATCTCCATGGAAGACGAACCGGATACCTGGAAGTCAGTGGTTACTTGATGTTACTTGTACCCAGTCTTCATACCAGCAGATGAATCGGTGCACCTGGATGATGGTTTCAAGAAGGCGGGAGATACCTCAATGTTGTTTGGCGGGCTAGAGATCTTTGATGGGGTCAAGACTCTCAAGACCATGTTTGATGTACAAGGGGACCCAGCTTTTGGATTCTGGATGTGTGATGATCTGTGTCTCTAGGTTGGGGTATCACATCAATGCCTACCAGACCTTGGATGGTGAGAGCCTGGTGAGTTACCAATGTGTGGTGCGCCGCGACGAGTGGGAGCTCATTCGGGAACCCATTCTGCAAGCCTACGCGCTACAGAGGACCCGAAAGACGAGTGGATCCAAGAATTTGCATGGACAGCTTCAGGGGTGTACACCCTAGTTGGTGGAGTCCGTGTCCCTACCTATGGAGAAACACCTGAGAGAACCTTGGATTGGGGGGGGAAGTAGGACACCCCACTCAAAAACCAAGAGGTGGAAAGTTGAAATTCACTGTCTATGTACCAGGGATTTCCGGCATTGGAAGTCAGTCATTTTTAGGGTGGCCCACTTTTGAGGTTCTTTTCTCCTGCACCAAGATGGTATTGAGAACCAGCAACTCACAGACACAAAAGTTATTTTAGGGCCTGTAGCCTGTAGTCATGTTGATCCAGACCATCTAATTGTAATATATACATTATATATGCTTCGAATGTTTTTGTGGCCGCAGCTCACACGCGGCTCAAATCGCATGAGCCTGGTGCACTCCTCTGCTGCGACAGGCGGTGTCGCGGCGGCGCTGGTTTCGAGCTTGTTGAGGGAGCCCTCCTTTCCACTGGTTCCCTGTTTGCCGGAGGACATCCGGCTCCATTGGCCATCGTTGGTGGCCGGGGTTCTGCTTGGCTTGATTTTGGGCCAGGTATTCGAGTGGTTGGTGCTCTTACGAGCGGTCTGGAATCTGAACTTGAGGGCCCGATCATTTTGGGTCCACAACTCCTCTATTGCAAGAGCCCGAATCGCATGAGTTCTTTGCCCTCTTCCGAACTGCAAGAGTTGAAGCGGGAAATTCGAGAGTTGACAGAGCGGGTTTCTTTTTTAGAGCGAGCGGCTTCCAGCCCCTCTCGCACTGAGGGATCGCCATCTACAGTTGTTCCTGTGACCATCAATTATTTGCAGCAGCAAGCCGATTCAGCCGACAGTGCACTCCCCGTGGGCTCCGCCTACCCCTCGCAGCAGCCTGAGGTTCCCACCGTGTCCCAATCTGGACGGCCGAAAGCCGGTGACTACTCCGACGCATTCCGGCGCCAGGTGGCCGAAGGGGTTGGTGAATTTTTCCGACGCAGCTTGGAAGGAACCAATCGAGGGCCATCCGGTTGAGCTCAGGTGGATTTGCCCTCTCGCATATACATCTGTGTGAGAGATATCTCAGGCCGAGTGCACGATCCAGTTGGTGTGTACTCCTCATTTGCAGCTATCAAGCCCCTGGTGCGAGACGGGGACTATCTCGGGGAGTCGATCTTCGCGGGCTTCCCTACTCGCTGGGAGGCGCAGGCAGCGGTGCAGCGGGCGGGCCTCACTTGGCCTGACTCCGCATAGCTGCAATGTCCGGCGAGGCAGAAGCGGATGCAAGCCCTGACGGGCAACCCCTGACCTCGGCTGACATGTTGAGGCAGTTCACGGTGCTCTCAGGTGAATTAAACCAACCTGATAACGACTATCCTGTGGGAATCTGCGAAGTCAGCTCAGCTACAGGTGACGTCCTTCGGGTTTCTATCATTGTTCTTGGCGAGGTCTCAGGCCGCTTCGTTGTTGCTGTGCCGGTTTCAAGTTGGCATCGCACGGTGGCCAAGCGTCGCCTTCCCAGCAGTTTCATGACTAAGGCTGTCGCTTGTGAGGTTCCTTTTTCAACAGCACGGTCCTTAGATGCAGAGACCTTTAATTCAAGATTGTGGCTTGGTTTACTAACTACAGATTATGAGGAGACCATCTCCTTTGACACCACGGGTGAACCTGCCGCTGACATTTATTTTGATGAAGATGAAGTGATGCTACCAGTTGCTCCTATGATGATTGAAAGCGCTGAGAAGTATTTTGCTTTGAGGCCCTCTACCTCGGCTTTCGAGTCTGCTGTTCAAGGGTCGGGAACAGACCCGATGATGCAAGCTCGAGTCGGTGCTTTGGAGTCCACCTTAGGGGACATCAAAGACCAGCTGGCGCTGTTGCTGAAGCGAGACGCTCCAGCTACCCCTGCTGCTCCCAAGCCGCGTGAGGCGCGCCCTGCGCAGCCGACTACACCTGGGGTGCTGATCCCAGGCCTTGATCCAGCAGTGGTACAAGCGGCATTGACTGCTGGCGTCTCCCGCTCGCGAAGAGATGGCAAAGGTTGCAGCTGTAGGGAAACCGAAACTGCCTGATTTGCCTACAGGCTCCAAACCTCGCAAGGATGCTCTCTCAGAGAGCGAGGATGAGGTCCCGGTAGCCGATGACACAGGTGGACAGACGGGGGAAGGCCAGGAGGTGGATCTTATGGTGGCGGCCATTTCAAAATTGACGACGATTACTCAACATCTGGCAGGACAGAAGCGGAAGGAGAATACCCTCGACTTCCTACTAGACGGTGCTGGCTTTCAGGCTTCCTCGGACGCCTCAAGCGGGAGTTCTTCTCGCAAGAGCGCGGCTGCTCTCCGAGCTTTGAGAAGAGCCCTGAGGACAGACCCTCAGCAGATTTACAAGACAGTCGAGAGGAACATGGCCGAGGATTTCCAGCTCAGACAATCCCTTCCGGGCAACCAGACCGTGTCAGTCACTGCCCGGGGTTGGCTGGAGGCACGCAGCCGGGTCCAGAATTTCAGGACCCCTGTCACACTACTGTGGGGCATTGCAGGTATTCTCGACTGCTTGCGGGACGAGCGGGTATCAGAAGCCAGGGCTCGGGCCTGTCTTTTGTTGTGCCAAGGCGACCAGCTCTCCATCGACAGGGGTTCATGGACAGTGGCCGCTCCTATGTCGTTAGAGGATCCACCTCCCTTTTCTGTTTTCGCCACCCACACGCTGCCGTCGGAAATAGAAGCTCCGATGACAAAGCTGGTCGATGCTCGGTGGATGGACTTGTTTCTTCATCACCTGGCGGAGATAGATCAGTTGATCGAGAAGAAGAAGAAGTTGGGGCGCAAGCCGATAGCCGAGACTCCTTCTCCAGCCGACCCCAAATCACCTTCTCCGAAGAAGCAGCCGCGCGACAAAGGCAAAGCCGGCAGCAAAGGATCTGGATCGGGCGGGGCTGGCAGGGAGGGAGCGAGGGAGAGGGAAACAGCAGCCCAGTGACTGTGGCTCCAAGCGCCTCACTTGCAGCAGCTTTTGATCGCGGATCGAGTGTGCCTGTGCCCGCCTTCTCTTTGTCAGAGCAGGATCCTACCCGCCAACAGGGTTCGATCTCTGCTTTATTGGGTCCGGGAAACTCGATTCACGATCTCCGGCTGTCTGCTTCAGAGGCTGAAGGAGCCCAAGACTTGGCAGCTGCAGAGATTGATGATTCCGTTGACACTTCACTTCATCGTTTGGCTGGAAAAGAGAACTGGCTAGTGCAGACAACGACACCTCCGTGATGGATCCTGTCGCAACTGCGCCTGGAGCCAAAGCCTCTACGGTCAATGCTCGTCTTTTGTGGAATTCACTTTTGCGCTGGATACTGCAATCATCTTGTGGCAGTCTCCGGTCTTTCATTCATTCAGCACTCCAGGGCCATTTTCCCGAGGAAGACACTCGGACCCCTAGGCCGGTGTGGCCTATTCCAGTGCCTTACTTTGTTTTGGTGCCAGAGGTCGACGATGCCAGTAGACAACAAGCTGCTTGGCAGAGGTGTGCAAATGTGATGGTGCTATGTTTGAATTGGCTCCATTTCTCTCGCCCGCACAGATGGCCGAGTCGTTGGTCTCCCCGATCTGCATTGACAATAGAACACTCCGCCATTCTCAGGCGGCTTCGGCGATTGACAGGTGAATGGCTCGACTTTGCTGATGTTACAGCAGAAACCATGGGCCGCACTGCAGGGAAAGTTGAGAGCCTTGAGACTATGATCCACAAGCTCGAGAAGGTAGCAGCTGCTTTATCCCCCTCCAGCGGGTCTGGTAAAGGACCCTCTTTTGCGGCTCAGTTGCAAGAGGCTGGAGGAAGCAAAGTCGAGGCTGCCCAAGCTGCAAAGCCTATTGAGGCTCGCAGACTCAACTTTCGAGGCCGACCTGCTTTTGACCCTGACCGATACTTAGCCGAGCCGGCCCGGTCCCTTTACAAGGACCCTTTGCAGTATGCCACCCTTCCAGAAGAGTGTGTTGAGAATGTTCCGGCTGTCAAAGTGCGAGGAGCTCGTAAGGAAATCCTCGCCTTGCTAGCTGCTCTCGACGCTACTGGACGATTGGCTCTTTTCTCGCCAGTGCAGATCCGGATGGACTTTCGAGCTGGAATGTTCGCCCTGATGAAAAATTTGACCACCGACCGGCTGATTCTCGACTGTCGACCTGCCAATCTTCTAGAACCAGGGCTCAATGAATGGACTCAGACCATGGGAGCTTTGATGCCTATTTTAGGTCTTCATGTACCTCCAGGTTTTCACGTTGTGGCTTCAGGGGAGGATTTGAAAGATTATTACTACTACTACTACCTGATCTCCCCTGTCCGAGCTCGCCGCAATGCTTTGGCGATGACTCTCACCCGCGCCGAGGCTCGCAGATTCAGAGGCGCATACCGCTCTGCTGATCGAACTTCGCCTGTGTTGGTCCCAGCGTTGGCTACAATGGCTATGGGAGACCTCAATGCAGTAGAGTTTGGACAGCAAGCCCATGTCAGACTTAGCCTCATGCACGGAGTTGCAAAGATGTTGGATTTGATGACCTTGAGGGGGCAGTTTCCTCGCCAACACTGGGCTGCAGGCTTTGTGATCGACGACTTCATTGTTGTGGAGGCGGTACCGCGCTCCCTCGAGCCTAGCAATTACACTTCGACTCGAGTAGCAGACGCCATGGTCAAAGTCTATGCCGAAGTTGGGTTGCAGGCGAATTCATCTAAGCGATTCCGAGCAGACAAGCATCCTCAATTCTGGGGTATTAGCATTGAGGGCACGGAATGCCTAGTCAGAGCACAGCTGGACAGAGTTATTCCGATGGCATTTATCACTGCACGTGTCGCCAAGGTCGGAGTTGCCACCAGACATCTGCTGGAAATTCTGGCAGGAGCCTGGACCGCTATCATGCAGAGCCGCAAGCGCTTCATGTGTTTGTTGGATGCTTTGTTTTCAGCTATACATTCCCATGAATATGACTGCTGGTTTGCATTAGATGTGGACACAGTGGCAGAGCTTTGGACCCTGGTCTCCTTGGCACCTTTGATGTGTTCTGACCTCCAAGCAAGGACGTCTAGTCATTGCCTCGCCGTTGACGCATCGGACCACAAGGTTGCAGGGGTCTCCACAGAGCTGCCTCAGCCCTTTGTGCAAGAGCTGACTCGACATGCCATGACTCGATCGGCATGGAGCCGCTTGCTATCGCCCTGGAAAACCTACCAGAAATGCCGAGGTTTGCTGGCGCCTGAAGACGAAGTCCCAGACGGAGAAGAACCCGCTCGGGCTCATCCTGTCTGGAGGCAGATCTGTCGCAGTGTTCAGTTCGAGCCGCTTTTTTGTCACCGAGTGCCGACCGGTCAGCATATCAACATCAGTGAGTTGAACGGTTGTTTGCAAGCAGAACGGATGATTGGTGAGCGCGAGCCAGATTCGCGCAACAACATGGCCACAGATTCTCAAGTAGCTTTAGGTGCTCTGGTTCGAGGTAGATCTTCTTCTTCCAGTTTGAATGAACTGTTGAAAGCTCATCTGCCCACATTGTTAGTGTACAACATTTACTCGTTTTTGCAGTATGTACCTTCCGGGGACAACCCGTCAGATGACCCGACCAGAGATGTTCCGCTCAGAGCCCCAGTTGAAACCGCACCTGCATGGCTTCAAGCAGCTTTTGAAGGCGATTTCAAATTACTGGACGAACATTTGGCCGACAGCAAAGCTGACCTAGCGACGCTGGCTAGGCTTCCAGAATTTGTTGAGGGAGATGTGCCATCGCCTTGGTTTATCTCGGAAAGAAAGCTCCGCCGCGCGGCTTACGCTTCGTGTAGAGGGTCACCAGCGGCGAGACAGATGGCAAATCAACCGCAGGCTGCACAGCCCGAACTTTGGCGAGCTGATCGGAGCTCGGTTCTGGAAGTTGAAGCGGAACAACGTCTCCGAAGCTTACCGCTGAGCCAATTTGTTTTTCCGAGAGATTGGTCTGCCGCTCGCTGCCGAGAAGCCTTGCATTACAGGGGTGCGCTGGATCTATTTTCCGGAAGCCGAGGGCTAGCCAGAGCCTTAGCCCGGCACCACCATTGTTGGGTGCTCACCTATGACATCCTGCATGATAGTGCCGAAGATTTGTTGGACGACCTGGTGCAAAGCGAAATACAGAAGCTGGTTAAGTTAAAGTGCTTTGACATTTTGACAGCTGGACCTGTGTGTTCTTCCTTCTCTCGTGCAGTCCGACCTCCTGTCCGAAGCCGTAGTCGACCGCGAGGTTTCGAAACAGTGACTGAAAGTATGAAGAGGAAGATTCATGATGGGAATGCTTTTTCAGTTTGGCTAGCTGCTTTAGTTTGGCTGGCCTTTTCGTGTGGTGTGATCTTCCTGATCGAGAACCCGTGGATGTCGTTTCTCTGGGATCAGCCAGAATGGAAAGAGCTAGCAAGCCATGAACGAGTGGGATTTTTCACAACTGACTGTTGCGTCTGGGGAGCCCCTTGGCGAAAGAGGACCTCTTTTCTGACAAATAGTTATCTGTGGGGCTGCAAACTGTTGTGCGCATGTCAGAAGCCAATCAACCACATCCAGTTAAAGGGCTACTCCTCCCGAAACAAGATGCCCTGGACAAAGGTTGCAGAAGCTTATCCCATCCGCCTGTGTAACACACTGGCCCTGTACCTGAGCAATGATTGCCTGCCACCTGAGCGGCAGCGCAAACTGGACTTGGCAGCGTGCGCGCGCTGCAACTCCCGAGTTGGAGAGGCGAAGAAACCTGGGCCCAGGCCTGCACGCCCGAGACCCGCAGTGGATCTGGAGAATGTGCAGCTGCTCTCCTCTCATACGTTGGCGATCCAGCAACGAGCGCGTTCTTTGTTTGCCACTTGGCTGGGCAGGGTGTTGGGGCCTGAGCTACTGGAAGTGTTTTCGACTCAGCCAGAACTAGCGACACCGTTGCTAAGAGCGTTTGGTCGATTTTTGTTCGAAGCACAACAACCTCTGTATCTTTACCGGCAACGCCATTTCCCTGTTTTTCCTGGACCACTTGCAGAAGCCTGGGATCTGATAGCTAGATGGGAGCGTGTCCAGCCAGTAGTTCATCGCACTCCCATGCCAAAGATAATTTTCGATGCCATGATCTGTTTAGCCTGGACATGGAGATGGAAGCGTTGGGCAACATTGACTTTGTTGGCCTTCCATGGAAAACTACGTGTCAGCGAGCCCTTGAGAGCAAGACGAAAAGATCTGCTGCTCGCTAGTGAAACAGGCTCGGATGTCAGAGCTGTGTATTTGAACATCCCAAAGTCTAAGACAAGTCACAGAGGCAAAGGGGTGGTGCAACACACTCGCATTAACGACGAGCTGACATTGTTAGCTGCAGAGAGAATTTTCGGACCGCTCCTGCCCGATGACTTCCTCTACCCGACAACACCGTCGACGTATCGACGGCGATGGGATGTACTTTTGAGCACTCTTCAGATAGATGCTGCCATAGGATTAACCCCGGGTACCTTGCGATCTGGTGGTGCAATTTTCGCCTATCACCAGGGTACAGCAATCAGTGAAATTCAATGGCTGATGCGCTTGAAGAGTGTAAATACACTTGAGAGTTATTTGCAAGAAACAGCCGCAATGAATGTGATGCAGAAGCTTCCCAGAGATGTCCGTACTAGAGTTACAGCCCTTTCACAACTCCTCCCCTTTGTTTTGCGCCTTTCTCCTTAAGCAGAGCTAGTGCAGCCACCAACAGACTCACAACAGCTGTTGGGCCTATCTGTTGTCAGGTCTGAGAGGTTCGAGGTGCTGGTTGAGCTTGCTTCGTGCACTTCGTAGCTCCTTCCTGTTTTGAGCT